AGCCCAAGGTTCAGAAGAGACAAGCCAATCCGCTTCCGGCATACCATTTTTCAAGCCCGTAGCAGAGACAACAAGTCGACCTCCAGTTGCCAATCTGAACTGAAACGCCCGCAAGGCACTCCAACGCACAGATAACAAAGGTTGGCGGAGGCTGCTCCATTGGTGTAAACTTACAGACTGCCGAGTTCGCACGTCAAACGATAATTCCAGATGATGAGGGTTGGGGTTAAGCAACTCCCATTGAATAAGAGAACCACCAGTGAACTGTAGCGGGCCGTGTTCTGTGATAAAGAGGAGGAAAAATCAACAGCGATCGTCCTTGAGGGATTCAGTAGTAAATGAGAGTGCACTGGTAAGCACTGGTAATAAGCACTGGATTAACTAACCTGAAGCGGATCCACTTTATTCCCTTATTTAGATACGGCCTGACGTGACCAGTCGAAAGTAGCATATTATGGGAAATTCAGAATAAGTAAAACAAGTATTAAGGGGTCAAGTGATATTCGCTACTGGGGGAATGAACACGAATGAACAAATGAGGCAAGAGCACTAATGGCTAAACTAACCCCGATCTTTAAAGCACCGTTCGGAGTAGCACGGATCCTTTAAACCGACTGCCTGGACAGATTCACAGTTGGGTCCAGTCCGAGGTGGAGGGCATATACAAACATGACCATTTGCACCATGAGGAAGGCAGATACGTGGACTTGGACAAGAAGCCAGCGCACAGCCGTTGAGTGGGGTATCACAGCGCAAGCCGGTGAAGTGACGTGGACAACGACAAGTAGGCGAGAGACTAAAACGAGGAGAGACCTGGCTAACCCGGTGCACTTCAATTCGGTTCATCACCCCGTTTGGATCAATTGTTATTCGGGTGAAACAGCGACCACGGGGGCAGAACTGAAAATGAGAACCGGTGATGACAGGATCAACTAACCTATAAGTAATGAGGAGATGGAGCTATCGAGGGTGAGACTCGGGGAATCGTACACAAATATGGTTGTGTGTAACAAGAAATCTGTCAGGTAGCAAATCAAACAAAAACGTGACAGCTCCTACCCAGTTTTCGTTGGCAAGTACATTGGGAACGATACGAATGGAGCGTTGCCAGTAAATAGACAGCGGCACGATCATTCCGACAGAACGACCGACCCAGATGGGCAGGGTACACCACTGCCCGCTAGGTCAACCAAGAACGACTGGCAACTCGTAGTAGCCAGCGGTTTTGGCATCCTGCTACCACGGCAACAAAGGTGATTAATTGAGATAGCTTCGGTTGGCGGCCATTAGAGAGTTTAATGGGCAAACTAGGATGTGTGTGCACAACAAAACCACTCGCAAAACAAACGCGAAACAAGTGGTCTGGGTGGAAGCCGAACGAAAGATCTAAGATAAACGACGTCCGCTAAATGTCTGAAACAGATTACGTTCACTATGGATCATTCAGAGGAAAAGCGAGCAATAATTAGCAAAGCCCAGAAAACGATACAGTTGAGAGTGCAGCTCACCTGGGCGGTACAAACATCATAAATCACTTCAACTTTCCCATTGAATTCGGCAGAAAGTGATCCAGAAATCCGCTGTACTGCCTGTGCAATCACGGGAGGTTTGATGAATTGACGCTGCTCCGGGTGATAGGCGACGATGAGCACATCGACCGCTCGATCCAAACTCCGTGGTATCCGGTTATGATAGGGCGAGTTCGCCGTAGTGATAAGAACATGGTCGGCCTCCTGGACAGACAGTATGTAGATGTTGTCTTCGAGATGGGCACTTGGCCTACTAGTCAACGCTATGGCTGTTCGCACATCCGACAATAAAGCTGAAGCTAGATGTGCTCGTAGACGACGATCGTAGTTCTCCATGTAGAATAGGTTCGGTAACAGGTTAGATATTCGGATTACGGTTGCAGATTCCAACATTTCGTCCGTAATTGAGACCACCTGGGAAAACGCCGATCATAACAAAAAATAAATGAAACACGTCTAATTTGAAGTTCAATGGGTATACGACTCCTATTATAAGATGCTTGTTTTCAGCAGTAAAAGTGCGCTCCAACCGATATAACATACTGTCTTACAGGTTTATCGATGCGTGATCCTCTGCATTTTCCACTCAGTCTTTTGAATACACATAGATATTAATTGGAGGTACGAAAAATCACAAGGTAGGAAATGGCCACAAATTTTCATGGCCATCCAGACGTGTGTTGAAGAGGCGGATAGAGTGGATATGGAAGGCACTCAAGAAAAAAGTAAGCTGCTTTCAGGGACATTGAATCATTGAAAACGTCAATATTAGTTCTCAGGTTCGGGAAGGGGTATCATATGGTATCATATGTTATCATAAATGAACTGTAACGGTTATCGATAACGGTTGATAAAACAGCAGAAGCTTGCTATGCTAATACTCGATTGTAGGCTTCGACAAACCATGGGTTGGTACCAATGTTCCAACACACTTCAGACAGCAGTTCTAGCGACTACCACCTTCATAAAGAGAATCACGGTGTCCGCAGAATGAAAACAAGAGTGGATTGAATAGGACTGCTACGAAGTCTGCATTTTAAGGCACAGAGGGGCACTATGTCAACATTGAATCCTTGATGAAATCAACCGTTGTTGTCCAAGCTGGATATAATACGAACCCTAGCAATATTCATACCTTACGCATTCGCAGACAAATAGTCAGTGTATGTAGTCGATAAAAAAGTTTTGAGACAGCCTGATATTAAAAGGTTATTCAATAATTACTGCCTCGCGTTGAACGTGTATTCACAAAAATGATGAACGAACACTATCCAGAGCCAATGAGTATTAGGACGCCCCCAGTATCGTCGTTTGCTGATGCTGTCTCTTCTAGCTGCCTGTACGAGAACTTCAATTGTGAATACCGTGTAAATGTCAGTATCGGTAAAACAACCCATCCGGTTTGTGAGCACGCGGAGAATAGGGAATACCCTGATTTGATGATTGGCAGATTAGGGAGAATCGAGGTAGGAAAGCTCTGCTAATGCGAACAAACACGGGTTGATCAAGTGAGCAAAATTAAATCGTAAAGAGTGATGGATCAGTCAAACATCGTGTCACTCAATTTACAGGAACCGCTCGTGGTTTCCGTAACATGTCAGTGAGTAAACAGTTTAAGCCTGTCACTAATCCTTGGTATCTAGGGTAAGAGAACAATGAATGAATAGCCTATTCGGGTAGCACGGAAATGTGAGGCAGCACAGTGCATCTGTTGGTGTGGTGAATAGAGGGGAAATTGACAACCGTTTGACACGCTATTAAAACATAGCGTCATAGGGTAACACCTGTTTTCAAGTGAGCGCCGGGTGGGGAACGCAGGTGTCGGTATGCAATCAGACCTGTCTAAATGCCTGTCATCAAACTGGACATAAGATACACAGAAGATGAAATTGCAGCAACAATGAAACTGAAGAAGTGCAGGTGGGCATATAGAGTAGGGAACAGGACGGATTGAATGTGCACCAGAATAGTGTTTTTTATTAAACAACAATACAGATTATCAAGCTAATCCGATCGCACCACAGTGGAGAAAAGATGTAGGTGTTATGTTTCGATGAAGGGCAACCCACTCCACTGTTTCAGCAGGCACTATATGCAAACCTGGAGAGCGAAATTACCTAACACGCACTAAGAGGAGACATTGTGAATTAGGACATCGAATTCCTCGAATTATCCTCACAACTCATCTGATTGAATGCAGTGAGTAATAGATATTGAGCAGTCGTTCAGTCCTGGCACCCTTTCGTAGCACAGCTGTCGTGAAAATAGAAGGGAGCACAAGAAATGAGTTATTGCTAAGCTGCTCACACCTAGACAGATGCAACCGCAAAGCAGAAATTGGGTTCGAACAATGGACATTTCGGTCACAAGCTTCACCTTTCAACCGCTGAGCTATCTTAAAGTTTATCAAGTACAATGACGCCTTCATAAACCAAACAGAGAACACCGATCACCATGCATCCAAGCTGGCGACAACCCAAGGGGCAACAATATTGCCATTTAACAGATCGTTCTTCTATAATGACTGTAAGTCATGGCGGGGATGGCAATTTTGAGTAAGCGACTTGCAAACTTATGACGAGGCAGGTCAGTACTTCGAGAAGTTGTCAGTGAATCTGAGCGAGGTTGACTGTTGCAACTAAACTCAGGTTAGGGATCGTCCTTGAAGTTCACGCCGAGGTTTGAGTGGTGGAATTTTTCATGGTAATCCCTTCAACGTAATGACAGGTTCAAGTACTAACCATTGAAATGTCTTACTAAGTGAATTTTAGCTTGTGCAGGTTTCACTGCTGGTAGGGAAAACCACAAACTGAGACAAGAAAAAGGTATAAACATATCGGAGACTTCATCCACAAGTCTTCAATGAGTGTCGGGTTAAGGAAGACCGATATTGAGTGTTGAATACAGAGCAAACAAGCCGTTTAGTTGTGTTTCGGAAATCTGAAAAAATCAGAAAGGCGAGTTGCGAACTCAAAACAAGATGAAACCTACAGAGAAGGTAAACCGAAAAAATCTGTCGGTAAGTAGCTCGAGACCACATAGTAACAAACATATAAACCGAAAGAGGAATGGTTATAAGGGTCGTTCAAAGGCTACAACCGAAAAAAGGTGACTGATGTTTATAAAAGTCTATAAGTTTTCCGAACACCGAGATCTACAAGCTTGCACAAGAATTCCGGTAACTTTTGGTGGGAAGATAACGTACAGTAAGACAACCAAACGACACTATTATGACATGGCGATGGAAGACACGATTTTTTCTGGCAGATTAAGTCGACTGAAGTTAAATCGGTGGAGAAGAAACATGACTATGAGTATCCTTGGTTATTTCCAAAACATGTCATATACTGAGGGAAAGTATTCTTGAAAAAGAAGCAACATACCTGAATGTAGAGAACCTCCTCGGAGGCTAAAGTTCCATTGGATACACGAATTCGCAGAGGGTAAAGTCCGGAATCTAGGCGGCTTAAGGGAGTGGCCAGAGACGAGTGCATTGGGTTAGAAACCGGCTTGGCTTCTTGAAACGCATCATCCGTCGGTTTGGGACTACCGACGGACTGTGCGTCTGACTTTCCAGTAGTGAATGCGGAACGAATGGTACCGTCGTATCGATCGACACGAAACAGACTTGCACTCGGACTGGAAGGAATGAGTTCGAATGTGAGACGATCGTGTGCAGTACGATCTTTAACAGTGACACGGGCCACGACCAAATTAGAAATAAGGTCGTCTATGGCACCAACCACTGTCGTTGTGGACTCAAGATGATGTTGCCAAGCCGCTGAACCACGGTAGTAGGTCAAAGTGGCGTTGCCTCGGACAATTTCCGGTGGAAGATTGGCCTGGCGCACCACGCGAATTGTGACGGTTACACTGGCATGCAATGCAGTTAAGCCGTTATCGGTGGCACGCAGAATCAAACTTTGACTGCCAACCTATCCACAGATAGAAGAGTGAGGTTCAAAGTGACTTCAGTGTGACTAATACTAGCATGTCAGCAGCGTTGCAAGGAGTCAAAAATACCATCTCCTATCCTTGCCAGTTTGGTCCTGTTCTATTTTTAAAGCATCAATGTAAGTCATGGAAGTTGGATAAACACAAATGAAATGCCTAGATGTGAGAGTAAAAGAACTAATGCATAACAACAGACTGTGGTAACAATCCCTTACCGTTTCTAAACCCAAGCAATCGTGTAGTACGTAGCTTAAAGACATCCAAATCAGAGATCGCACTCTTCTTAGAGGGTTTCTTCTTTGCCTGTTGACCACTAGCATGTAAGAAACATGGGCTTGAGAAATAATTTCTACTCTATGAGCGTCAAATCAACCCGTTCCCATCGCGCGATAGCGTGCAATGACGCCTACTTAGCTGAAAAATAGCTGACCAAGAATATTCACATTTCTGTTTTCCAAAGTCAAGAGCCTTATGGCGATGCCACTGCAAACTTGTATGCCAAAAATTTACACTAGAGGAAAAAAGCACCGTTTGATTTGAGAGTGAGAGTAAAGTACGCAATCTGGCAGGTCGGATCAGATCAGATACCGAGGTTTGGTTCAAAGCATGGATCTTCCAATCAGTCATTTCGAGCTCAAAGTGGGTGGATTAACTGAGCACCACAACCCACTGGTGGGGTTTGTGAAAGGAGAAACGTCCCAAGCGTTGGGGATAGAAAAGTGTTCAGCTGTAGCGCCCTTCCGGTGCCTAGCTGCCATGCCACATGAAGGAAGCGTGAGGGCTGGGATACTGCCAGGTTGCCCAAGCCTAGACAGGGGAAGTCGAGAGGCGGAGGTCGGATTCGAACCACGGACCTTCCGGTCAGTAAATTCGCGCTCTAACCACTTGGGCCATCTCGCCCATGGAGTGGACAGATGTGCGACTGAGAAGCCTAGTGCTTCGTTTGATGGATATGTAGGACAACACAGGTGTGATGAGAGTATGGTAGCAGAAACCTAGGGAAAACAACGTCGGGCAACTGCCTCCACTTAAGACGCAGCTAAAGATCGTTACACTGAAAGAAAATGCTGACGTACTTTGATGACTAACTTGATTAGAGGGTCCGAATTTGTGAAAAGATGCTGAGCATAAAGGTCGATTCAGTTAGAGTACACTGCCATCAAGGTGTTAAACGAAGAAAATAAGTAACTTGGAAAATGAACTTTGCAGGACCTGGGTCGCACCCAACTTACCGGCAGTTGATCGACTGCGTATAAAAGGCATTCGCCCGTTGACACTGTCGCGTTGATCTGATCCAACTGAGAGGAATTTCGCACAGAGAAGAGACCCTCACTGCGGGCACCATCGGATCCAGACTGTACGGAACCTGAATGGGTTAGCTGGCACGTGAAAGGGCCGGCGTTTGGGTCTGCGTCCGCATCAGTGATTCGCAGCCGACCGACCAGAACCTTCCCCACAAACGGTGCCAGGCAAGTTTCGGACTGGATCTGCGGATTAGCCGGCTGACACGGGTTGAGGAGGGAAATACACTGCAATTTAGTACAGAAGCGTACTATGGGAAGTCAATGGAAAGCCCTTCTGGATTACAGAAGCGAGCTAAAAGACTTCAACCTGACGGTTCGTTGTAAACGTTCCTGGTCTAATGAAAGCAGTTTCACAAGGACAACAATGCCGATCACTAGCAAGAATGTGCACAATAATCCATTAGAATTTATGGCGAATTTTAGTCAACTAAGGTAATCTGTAGCAAAAATTACGTTCATGGCTAGGAATATTACAAACATTATTGTTCAGATGGTTATTTTTCTTGTAAGGACAAGACAGTATGAGAGCGGCTTCCTGCTGCCGTTTTTTAATGTCTCCATGTCGCGTCAGACATAAAAGGGTCAGACATACTGACAAGAGAACTCTAGCAAAATTACTAACCGGTACGTAGTGAAAAAACCGCAAATACTACGGTTGCAACTTCACCAAGTAGCACACACCGTGCCTATTCCCTATATCATCGTTTTAAATTCAGAGAAGCTAAACAGTACGAATAAACAGAAAATATTTTTCTCGCGAATTCGTTGGGTCATTGTTAGGTGTAGTAACGTGCAAATAAACACAGGGGGTTCCCTTAATAAAGGGAATCTCTAAGATCCCAGTCACAGTAAGTGGATATTTCACAAAATAGCCATCTAGTCGACAGTTACATGTAAAAGTCGGATGCTCTTAGGCCAAGGAATAGTTTTTAAGCAAAGTTCTCCTGTCTGTTGACAAACACTTTGTCCTACCGCGAGGAACGAGCTACATTTTGGTGAATAGAGACGTTTGCTCACTCTAGAAAGGGAGCGAATACGGTGGAAAAGAAAGTCACGTAAACGAGTGGCCGACGAGCAATTCGGCGATACCCAGTGTTGACAAGAACATCCAAGCTAACCACCACTGAGCTCATGCTCCACGGTGTTTCACGATTCGAAGTCAAAGCACTCTACTGCTTTTTCTAAACGAGCTGATTGACCACAACAAACCGCAACAAGCAGTGCACTCTCAAGAGTCACAACCTTAGTTACGTTAAACCCAATAGGGAGACTGGAGATCTAGAAAATATGGAAGGACGTCTATTCATAAGAATAATCTAGAAACCGCAGCGGAAACACTGTACTCTCACCACGGAGCTCCACCAGATTCTGATGCTGAGAAGTACAATAAATTCAGATATGGAAACGGCATTCGCTAGCAGCACTGTGACATCGTGCTTGCGACAGTAAACAGATCCCTGCTGATACCGTGTGGTTCTAATATATTTGTGGCAATTATTGAGAAATTGTATGAAAACCAGTGCATGTGCCAGCCCACTGAAGTAGAGATTGCAGACGCTAACCAGTTTTAACCAGGGATAACCGAAAAGCAAGCTGCTTGTGTGTGAATGGCTTGGTCACTGACAGATAAACCAACGCCGCTTGCTTAACCAAGGCACGTAATGGTGATGTTTTTCATCGGGGTATGAAGGACTAAAACGTCCTGCTGACCAACAGAGTGACAGATAAATTTCAACAGAAAAGCCTGGTACAGGGCCGCGAAACGTTCCCCACATTAGACGTCTGCTCACTCGGGCGGATAAAAAACATGTGTGTCCAACAACTAAGCGACGTCAGAGAATGACAGATAGCATGTGTGAAAGGCAACCCATATGGTCTTATGCTTTGCGACTTTAGGAAAACCAGATTTGCGAAACCAGTCTGAGAAGACCTAATCACACATAGGAAAAAAGGACACATCTGGTTAACCAGACAAGAAGCGCGCGCAGTTGGAAAATAATCCTGATTAAGCTTTCTGCCACAAATCAGAGCGTGTCGAAGGACACTATGGAACTAATAATACAAATGATGATGAAAATGGGTCTTCTCAGGTAGGCACCAAGCGTACCGTGCTGTTGTCAATCTGAATACAGGAAAAAGTAGTACTGCGGTTAAATGCAGAATAAAGGATAGTATCCCGTTTGTGTGACAAAGATATGCGCAAACGATCTTCAAACTCCAGCCAGTAAGCCTTACTTGGTTGTTTACGTACGGACACAGAGAACTAGCAATGGCGCACAGCTTGCTGAACAAACCGGTAAGTCAACCATCAACCACCAGTCCGGAAATGGAACAACAGTTGACAGTTTATGAAGGAAAAAGTCAACAGGGAAACCTTATTCCTCTGTACACTTAACTCTCAACAAAGTCAGACCACCAAGGTGCATTTTTCCGGCCAAAAAATCTCTAGTTGAAGTTCAGGCAACATGTGAAGGTGTTTAATCACAATATACTAAACATGTTTGGTGAAAAGAAGGGCATTAAATAAAGACATCTGCGGACGATAGGGGTGAAAAAAGTTTAACCACATTGGACATTACATCTATCATCACGAGACGGTTTAAATCAAGCCTTAACGGACGGCATCAGTGTTGAACACTGATGTCATGCTGGTGATGACCTGCAGAGAAGACCTTCCAGCTGAGGAATCGGGAAGTCATGTGAGGGGGAGTTAACCAGTGAGGTACATCATCATTTTTCCGCTTTATATCCAAGCCGTTTTTGTTACTAGTCGGTAGAAATGTAGAAAAAAATGTATGCATGTCTTGTATCTCTCATTTTTCCTCTTGTTCTAGTTGATGAATTAAACAGTACACTACTCTATGATGAATCAAAGTTCCAACAAAACCTGGCAACGTGCAGTCAGACCTGTCGTATTCGAACATTGTACACCAAGCAGGATGCTAATTCCCAGCTGCTCACCTGGTAACGCAGAATTATGAAGGAACGAGTAACACACATGGCATGGAACACAGTCATCTATCAACCGTATTTCAGAGGAAGACGGACAATCAGTTTTCGTTTTCAGAACCAAAATAACATCTCTTGAAATGTGAATCCAAGACTCCATTCGAACTTAGTTATTAATATATTGAGGGTAAGAACATTGTTTACAGCTGTGGCTTGGGTCAAAGACTACCCCATCACCCCCCGCTTGTGGTAGCTTTTTATCACGATCTATCGAACAGTCAAGTAGTCAATCAATTCAGCAACGACGATGATGAGCGGTCAGGCATTTCATAGAAGCACGGCCCACGACGATGCGTGTTCACCCAACGCCGACCATACAGCCTGGGTCAATGTCAAAAAGTGCGCTTTAAATCCCGTGGGGGCTCTTGTACTCGCTTGTTCACAATAAGACTGTTGTGTTCCTTGTTGAAGAGTCTTTTTCCGACACTGAGGGACAGACTTGGCGAACGCTTTGGTGGAAATCAGCGGAGAAGGAATGTAGTGATTAACACCCTGATGGTTGTTCGTTTAAGTGGTTGTGAGATATGGGGTAAGTGCGGTCAGGGTTGTTTGTCAAGGAAATGCAGTCCAACGCTTAGTTGCCAAGCGAGAAGGAGCCACGGAAGAGGCTCCCGCTCCTGCAAGTGTGAGATGAAATGCGAATTTGAGTCACCTAACCAGATTCTTCAAAAATGTGTAACTACTCATGACACGCTCTGCGCTCGGCATATCAGTCTAGTCTACTCTAAACTCTACCCGACAGCTAACAGCATTTATAGGCCTGATCTAATATGCTGATCAAAGGGAATAGTACAAGCGATATATGTGTCCGTTATTCACACAGATAGAGTGGAGATGGTGTACGGGGTGATATAACGAATGAGCCAATCCGTGGATTCAGGAGTGCGTGTTGAGGGCTCAGAAGTGAGAATGATGCATACGCGGTTGATATGCTCGAACAGAGACCTGTTTTTAGCCAGATTAAGGAGGAAGCAGAATGTTCCAAGTTCGGTGTTGGGTAACTTGTTATATTATGATGTGCAAATGCTTGGCACCTATGATGGGATCCGCGTACTGTTTTCCTGCGGATGTCAGCCAATGACAAGTTATTTTCGAAATCGTAGGAAGAAGGAATTCTGATGTGCGACGTCCGCGAGAGAACTAGCTCGAATGGGCTACAGACCCACAAAGTATAGTACTTTTGGTTGGTAGGATGGATTTCGGTATATTCTACACTCAACTGTATGAATATGCCTTGTTCTGCGGTTCGGCTTATGGTCTCCTCTGGATGATTGCAGTCTTTTGTGTATTCTAGCAAATATCTCTCATCTACCCTATTCGTGAGACCCTTCAGAGAAAATGACAAAAGCCATGGAAAGATTGGTCCCAGATGAACACAGTAGATGTCTTACTTTACTATATGCACCATCGCCCTCAGAGAGGACGGTTGTGAATGAATTCAAACAAAAAGTGTAAAAACTGACCTGCGATTCATGACACCCGCTAACGCCGCCGGCACGATCAACCTATATTGAAAGGACAGGCGTAGAGAAAACACAATAAAATAGCAAAATGTTTGGCTATGTACGTCGCCAGACAGTATTTAGTAAGATTTCCGCTCAGAAAGTAATAAGTAATAGTATTTTAAGGCAAAGCACAAAAAAATTCATTTTCTATTCGACGACCTTCGCTATGATCAACCACAATAAACGTATGTGTTTATTTTGAAGGTGGACGTATGCTTTCCCTCATTTGCGAGACAGGAAACGCCTAAGCGCAATCACGTAAAAAACTTATAAACCCAGAAATGTTGTACTTCCTAACAACTATTGGCATATCTGATTTTACCCATATTATCTACAGAGATCTAATACCCTATAAAAGGGGGCAGGGAATTTCGAATTTCTCTCGAGATGACTGTTCACCAGTATCCTTCTACCGCCTGAAACATAGCCTTCAAAACATTAAGGGGTGAAACCTACTGCAATGAATCTTGGAACAGTGAACGTATGCTCGAGAGCAGATGCAATTTTGGCGGAGCAACATTAACCAGAGTTTAACAGTAAAGACAAGCTAAATCTTCACAGTCCTTCAACTAAACACAATGGTCTGACTACAACGGTGACATATCTGTGTCTTAATAATTCCCACCAAGTATTGAAGTACACAATGATAGAAAAACAAAAGATACGATAAAATGTTTCCCGAAAACACACTGCTGCTCAATGACTAGCCCCCCAACTGTTGCCTGAACCATATCAGTATCGGCCCTATACAGTATATCTACATTTATGACATGAGGTTACACAAAAACAGGTAGCATTTAAAGACAGGCTTCAGTCACTTGCATTCAACAACCGATACACTGTCATACAGTATATCTTCGAAATAAAGTCACTTGCTGAGGCAGCCCTAGACTTCCGGCACAGATAGCCTTGCGAATTCATATATGCTCATTGATATCCGTCATATGTTATCAAAATCGGCTTGCCATCATCACAGCTCACGTAATTCGATGGACATCATTGTGACAGTCCTTGTGCTCTACAAATACTGCGCCCAGAAATAGAAATGCTGGAATCCACATGAGCCCTGCAGCTGAAAGTCATCGCCCGAGAAACCAGTTAATATCGAAGCACGTGTGGTGAACTGCATGACTGTCGGATTATTGTGTGCTATGTCCTACGTAAGAGTGAGCTGCCTCTGAGTTCTCGTTTCCGAAGGGTATAGTATTCAACTGCTGACAGGGAGTTTGCGAGAGTGAATATCTCTAGGGGTTCGGGAGTTGCACACTGCTGTTAACTCCTAACAAGGTTGAAACAGACGCACAGCGCTTCAGGATGAAACCTCGAAATCCCGAGACTATTTCAATACGTAAAGAACTGTTCAGCTGTAACACCCTTGCGGTGCCTAGCTGCCGTGACACCCGAAAGAAGAATGAGGGCTGGGATACTGCCAGGTTGCCCAAGCCTAGACAGGGGAAGTCGAGAGGCAGAGGTTGGGTTCGACCCACGGACCTTCCGGTCAGTAAATTCGCCCTCTAACCACCCGAGCCATCGCGTCCCCTTCAATACTTACAAAACATTGAAATTCCCTTGACATTAGTCGATAATTCCGGTTGGCACTGCATAATATGTGTTGACAAACTAGCGGTGTATCAGCCAGTTAAACATACTCGCTTTGTTGTCGAAACATGATTATTGACTAGAACCTGCTTAAGAGCACTAACCGATGGAAAAGATGGGATGAATATTTCAGCCAAGTCATTCAACCTTATGGCAGTAAAACTCACACAGGTCATGATCACGGCTGCATCAGTATGAAAATGGATCATAGTTCCTTATTATGGTAGGTGGCAAGTAACTCCAGTCACTTAAATACTGAAAGCTGATGGGATAACTAGAACTCTCCAAAGATTTGGCAGAAGCACTCCTAACACATTCAACGCATTCCTCTACAGGGGGTTATTTTACGGAAATAGGTCAACACTGCAAGCTCCAGCCAACCTACTACAGTATCCAACATGAAGTCTTGCAAAATTACGTAGGCTAATGGAAGTGCGAACAGCGTTCCCAACTTCTGCCGTCATGCCTGTCTTGGCTAGCCAGAATGCACAAACTGGACAGATGTGAGTATGGTGAGACAGGTGGCTTCACAGACCGTTTGAAAAAGATATTTTAGATCTAGCGACTCAGGAGGAATTTGATGGAGAGGTTGGTTCGCTTCGCAGTGCAACACTTCGCTCAACGGAATATGTTTTAAGAAGGACAGATATCTTATCGGTGCCTTTCAGAAATTAGGCTCTGACTTTGGCAAGATGTGGTGCGAAACGCACAATTTCCAAAGTTCTCAGGACCTGGATGACCATATGTTTCAAATTGGTTACTGCTTCAGCGACCTGAAAACGTTGCACACAATTCAACGAAATCCCGCATACAGAGAACCTTATGGAAAGACTGGCTAAGAATTGAGACTATCCATCAAACAGTGGAGAAAATTGTGTCACTTATGTTAAGTTCAAATCGACTTAGTTTACCATCAAACCATAAATGCTTTGTATTTACCATAAGTGATCGTATTTGTGAGATAACCAGTAGTGATTCTTCCATTCAAAATTTCACTGAATGATTTGTTACAAACAGACCTCTGACATACTAAATACTGCAGAAAAAAGTTCTGTTGTACACTATCTGGTTCAACTGAAATGAATAACAACGGTCAACCGTGATCACGTTCGTTTATCCAACCGGCGTACGCGGGTCAAGTGGTTGTAACACACTCGCTTTGCAGGTCAGATGTCCGCGATTCGAATCCAAGCGCGACGAAGGATATGCAATACTGATGAGCTTTAATAAGCGAAAAACTCAAGTGTGATACTTTTCGTGCGCCAAAGCAGACAACCGACAGTTCAGAAGATTGACAAGAATACAAAATCTATGAATCTCACAGTCGACTGCGCTATTCAATGTGTTGCTGCTTATGAACGGCCACCAAGAGTACCACACAGACCGCATTGTATGAACACGTTTTTCTCAGGTCAGGGAACATGCTGAATTCCGTTGGTACCAACCAGTCTATTCCTTCTACATAGTAATGATCATAAAGTTAGTCCCCCCAGCCGTTCAGGCGCATCCTATCTGTCTACGTCCGGTAACAGCCAATTCAACTGAAGTGCGCACGGTTATGGTCGTCTAATTGCTGACGCGCATGTACTCCAAGTAATTTTAACAGTATTCCGTAAGTTACCACGGCAGAGAAGCGTAAATGACTCACGCTGAGCAGGACCCACGAAGGTGTCAGGTTAACAGCGTGATGGCAGCCAATTAAACGGCATTGCACCCAGCTAGTTCCACAAAACTAAAATCGGCATACGGGTGGACAAAACAGCATATCACCTCCACATGGTTGCAACCTTAGAAATTTTTGACCAGTCTCCGATGAAATTGGGTAAGTCTGAGATCGTCATTTTCTTACATGACCGCAAATTTTGGAGTGAACGAGTAGTTAGGTGGCGTAAGTGATACGATTTCACCCTCAACTGGTGTAGCGATTTCAATTGAGAAATAATGTCCACCATTTCCAAATACCTAGAAAGCAATCTATAAGGGGAAAGAGGAAAAAGTGCTCCGCTGAAGCAAAGTTTACCGTAATTTTCGTTTGTTCGAACAAGAATTCATCATCAACTTGATAAACACGCCATTTTAATGTTAGGAAGAGAACTAGCTGTCCTATATCGAGTAGAAATCCGTTCTGGTAGGATCGATGCAAACACCATCATCACATTCTCCTTACTTTATGTTGAACCAGAAGAGTTGACTGCGTGAGTAAACAGAGCTTACCTCCACGATGAACTCGTAATTTGGTTTCTCAAACACCGGAGGGCAATCGTTGATATCTTGCACACGTACACGAATCAGCGTCTGACTTGTGAGTGCTTTTGGTGACCCATGGTCGGTAACGGAAGCAGTCATCCAATATTCGTCTATCAGTTCTCGGTCTGGTTCGAACAGCAGAGTCAGGCGGCCGGTTTTGGAATCAACTTGGAATCGGGTGTTCACCTCAGACGGTGAGAGTAGTTCCCAGGCCGATTTAGGCGGTTTATATATGAAGGACATCCATTCCGTGGAGTTTAACATAGACAGATGATAACTCAATCGACCGTTTTCTCCACTATCAGCATCCACTGCCTGAAGCTGAAAGTAGGGGAAAATGGGAACAAGTGCATCTTAGTACACAGCCATAGAGAGAGAGACTAAGCACAAACGATAATGTTAGTACCGTGTAGAGCCCAAACTCAATTGCACTACAGGATAAGTACATTGGGGGATTTATGGATAACTGCACAAAGTATGAAATTCAATAACAAGAGATCAAAAGATACCAAGCGATGATGTGGCGACTTTCCTGCCTTATTGAGCAGATTACTTAGCCACATATTGTGGATAGCTAACTCCGGCGTGACTGATCAATAACCTAAGTAGGCTGTTAACAAAAGCAACTGCATAAACAACACATGAATGTGGAATGAACTAAGGTCGTTAGCGCAGGAAGACCCGGAGCAAGTAAAACCTTTCCACATGGTCATACGGGCAGTGTGCTTTGAGTTGCTGAGTGAAAAGAATAACGTTATCCCATCGATAGACGTACGTTGAAAAAAAGCCGATAGCGCAAGGATGAAGTCAATGTCAGAGATAGTAAAGGTCTCACATAGACGATTCGTGTACAATGTCCTCCTTCATCAACAGTAGCACTTTAGGGTATCGACCATTTCTCAGGAAAGAACGTCTTCATCCAGGCAAGTAAAAACAGTCCGAAGCGGAAACTACCAGATTCATCTAACAAGGAATTATACATGTCAATTGTTGGCAACCCGTATATTAATTTCGAATTAGTTGAGTCTAAAAGTTGCCGGGCTTTTTCACCTAAACCTGCTGAAAATTCTTCGGTTATTTATTTAGTTCAGCCTAATCGACCCTAATCCAGCCTATTCTCAGTTTAACTTACCGGATACCAAACCAGACTGATGAATATACTTCTCTGTGCTCAAGAGATCAAGTCAATCAAAATCACCAGACTGGTCGTGGACCGAACAAGCATTAGTTAATGCCACAAATTCTTACGTAGACTCCTAGGTTTCATCCGCAGATGTACATGCCAGGAGAATTGTTGTAAATACATATTCGTTGGGCTAAAGATAGGATAATCTATCTTTAATACCTTCACAGACTTTATTAGATAACCTGGAAACTGATATGTATACGATGGAAAGTACTATACAATATTCAGAAAATTTATGTCCCCTATGCGTCAACGGGCCACAGAAGCGACGTTGCAATCGTACCAGCTGCGTCCAGTTCCTATCAGGACAAATTTTCACACTGGATGTGCAAGCAGAACTAAGCTAAATAGTGGCGCCACCACCACTTTTTTCCGCTCGAAACATTAGTGGGGATCGGAGACAAAAGGTAAAAATTATTCGAATCGGTGGCAGCATTAGCAGCGCCACCGAGGAATGACGGCACCTAGTACAATCACTTGATGAAAAATTGATTGGGGCAAAAGCATTGCTTTTAGATCCTGTCTGATAGAAGAGGAAACGTTTAAAATTCATGACTTACCCGACCAACTAAAGTTCCGTTCCGACTGTTCTCAACCACAGTGAACGAGTAAAAGTGCGCTAGCAGATCTTTGAGCCCATCTGGAATGATCTTACTAACCAAGCTGGAGTCAGGCAACGGTTGGCGTCCTACAAATTGCGGTCGGTTGTCATTGACATCGTCGACAGTAACAGTGACGACGGTTGTGGTACTCAGAGGCGGATCACCATGGTCGCGAGCCTCCACCGTAAGGAAGTAGGAGGAGACACGCTCATGATCCAATTCACCTTCCAGAAGCAAATCACCTGTACAAAAAATATAGGTTGGGAGGATGATAGCCCCAAGCTTGTTCATCGGCGAAATTAACCAGACTAATAAGTTATTGGGAGAAAGTAGGACTCTTCAAAGCAGATTGAGAATTTGGGTCGGTTACTACGATAAACTTAGTGGTTATGGCACAAGTTGCTCACTAGGTGGACAGTCCCCGGCTTTTATATGGATCTGGGAAACCTATGAATGTCTCAGTCATCAAGCCATTTCTCGTTTGAATGGAACCTATGCACAAAAAGGGTACCATTGCTGGACGATGATTGGCTTTTATTCTCCTATCGGAATTTTGTCGACAAACACAACACCAAGAACGAGAGACCAACAGAGAGACCGAAAGAGGATTAGAGGATGACGAGTATTCAAAAAAAGTAAGTCAGAAATTCAAAATTGGTAACCCAAGTCAGTGGAATTCATAATCCAGAAATGTACAGAACAGATGAACAGAGAGGAACTAAGTAAATCCTGATTAGTAATCGCGGTCAAGCAGTATAAAAGAGAACGGTTTGCAGTGGAGGCTCAAAAACTTGGTATTTTTTTGCAGTGCGTTCATTTAATTTTCTCATGCAAGTGAAATCAAAACTGTTTGAAACTATATTGAGCCAAGTGAACCGAGAATTTTCCAATATTCGGCAGAGAGATAATTCCATTTGAAGCCATTCCGCGCAACATAGGTGTGCAGATATGATAGACACCATTGCATTGAATCTGCATAATGAAAACGTCAAGAAACAGACATTCCACTACTGTACCGAACGAAGTGTGCGTGTGTACGCGCCTATGAGCCGGAGGTCGGTATTTCGTGACAGCTTAGCGGATAAGTATACGGGAATGGCAGGAATAACAAACAAACAAACTCGACCTATAAAGCGAATTCAGAATGGTGGAGGTGAAACAAATTGTTTGTTCTCAACTAAACGAGACATTCACAACCCTGTGGGCGGAATTAATTATCCAGGAAAGGAATGAGATAGAAGAGATGCGAGCACACAAGGAGCTCAGAAGTGGATGACGTAATAGAGATGGCATTAGTGACAATGTTATTCTCGTTCCAGCCACGGAAGGGTAACAATTGGATTTGTGCAACGCCATCTTCATCCAACGACCTTCTACTTAACAACGGTTGCAAGGAGTTACACCAATATATTGCCAGCCAAAGATGTCGTCCTTTGTACAATATACTCTAAATCGTTCGTCTCTTCAAAATATTGGCGGTGTGCTATCGCCAATAGTGAACCAACGATACCTGCGGAAGGCGGTCGCTCCAAACAGGAGAATGAGGCAGGTGTTGGGATTCCACGTTCGTTAGAATATGCAATCCACCTGTATATAACATATAAATTCAGTATTAAAGACCAAATCAATCAATCTGCTAAGTGGGGCTGATGTGATAGGATGAGTCAGTTTATGCCTTGACTAACAGCTGTTATCGTCGCCATCAGAGAAATCACCATCAATGTTGATACTGATACTTCACTGCCGTATAACCACAAAGTTCATTTGATTATACTTAAAGTCCTAAAACGGAGAACAGGAGTGGGTGAAGTACGGGACTAGGTTGTCACCTATCATTGGCATTACGAGGTACCTACATCTCCAAGCGATCAATCAAACAATCTGGGAAGAAAATAGCAGCACGAGCACCACTGAAATCGAACAGCCACCATTTCCTGCAATGTCTGCAGCAAATTGCAGATGGGGGCCACGAGAACCCCATCCGGAAAGGTGGACCACACAAACAATACCCAAACTCTTCTTACTCTCCTTCACACCCTTCTGCCAAGCCATACATTGTCCACCTCACGGTTAGGTTAATTCTGAAGAATACACAGAAAACAGCACTCGTCTCGGCAGGGGTAGCAGGTGGTCGGAACACCGCAGTTGGCGATACTAGATGTTCCACGTGATTGAAGTACCTGTTGTACAACCAAAAACCCATCTTCAAATTACCGCGATACCCATTCTTTGACGCTATCCGACACCAACAATGATTCTGAGACATCGTTGTCCAAAAAACTGAGGAGGCCTCCCATTATCCGTCCGCAACCATACAACACTACTGTAGCCTAGTACATGAGATACTTGAGACCCATAAACATGCCTTTTGATACCACAAGTAACGCGAATTAGCAAAACATGATTCGGGTCTTTGAGATTATTAGACACACTTCCGAGGTATTTACTAATGGCTGTGGCCCTCAACCAAAAAAACAAGTTGAGATTTCACAGTGAAGTGATTTATAGGATTAACTCAATAAACTCAGTAAACTTGACTGCATCTAAACAAGAAAACAGTCATCATTTACGACCCTAAAGAACGATCGGCTACACATTGGGTTGCCACTATCAGCAGGCTGTGAATAAGTGATAGTTGAGCCCCCCTCCCATAATGCTGTAGTCAGCAAACGTAAAAAACCATCTATAAACGTCACTTGTGTATTGTTTAAATAATGAAACAATGTCAGAACTTGGAAAATCTATCGCCAATTACACTAGAATCTCACTACACTAGAAAAGACAGGACGTTTGTTTCCCTAAAGTGATACCAGTGAAAGGACAGTCATTCGGGACTAAATCAGTTAGTCCGCTTTGTCAAAGAATCCAACGTTCTGAGGCCCACTCTTGGGGGAGGAGAGGAGCCCAATACAGCCGCACAAGCCTGTGTGACAAACTGTCAAACCAATGACATCATGTTGCCGGCTTAAACGACCCACTAGTTCCTATCAAATCACAAGCGAGTAAGTACCTGTTCACACGAAATTATTTCCAAACCCATAAATGTTGGAGATACAAATAACTACCTGGACGACTGATCAACTGCATCTTTTGCCTATTCGTTTTGTTTGTTTTCCTCTAATCGTGAAAATTTTTCTACCTTAAATTTGGTACTGGACAGTGAAACAGAGAGTAAAACAATTAATACACAACTGCTTAATGGAACTTGAATGGATTCTAACGTGAAACTGAAGAAAATAAGTTCTGTGCGCATCATGGTCAGATCAACTGACAAAACCCGAGTTCAAGGGAGGTGAACTGGTAAATGGCCACGATGAACAGAAGTGGGAGATAATCGGCAACAAACTGAACGTCCGGATGGACCTTAAGTAAGCCAGGGTGTAAAACCAGTTGGGGTAATTAGGTTGGTATGGAAAATCGGTTCATGTTTAGACTCCCTACAGGGAGGAAAATTGGTAGTGATAATCCGTAGACGGTGTGCACGTGCGCACATTCATCTGTAGTAGTGGCAATAGTAGTAATCGAAACGACAGCAGCAGTGTGATAGGGAGAGAGGGAGATGAATCAAGTCAGCTCCACAGGTTATGAGAATTGGATTAACAGCTGGCAATCAAGGTTGAAGGACGAGACGATATGCGACGACAGGTGATGGTGATATGGAAGAAGGTACAATAAGGGAAAGATTGACACAACTACAAACGGAGATAGACGCTGGTGTACAACAACCATAGTTTGCAATGCGAAGAGTTCTCCCCTTAACCGGTCCGTGTCATTTTTACGCGGAGATGTGCGTTGGTGAGTAATAATGAAAAGCAGAAAAACATCATCAATTTCAAATCCGAATAGAGAGCCCCATGACACAGTATCAAGTATCGTGAAGTAGTGAACCGAAAATGTAAAAAAAGAAGGTATGGAGTGAAAATAAAGTGGCGGGGCGGAGACAAAAGCTGAAACAGGAGTATGAAGATTAATTGCACACAGACACAGATAGGTGGGAACGGGACCTTATTACCGGTAGAAGCGGAGCTACTCAATTAGGTAATTAAACACCCAATTCAGACAGTCTGATAGAAATTTTGCAGGCATCGGCCTGGACTACCTATGGTTGTGTGGTCTTTTTATCTATAGGGTCACATAACAGTTAAGAGAGACGCTAGTGCTGTACTTCCACCATACAATAGATGAAAAGAAGCAGCTAAGTACGACTGCTATCACCATGGCTAATCACCACTAATCAACCTAAGTACAACTAACTGCGTTGCAATAATCGAAAGGCGCGATTAGCAATTTAATAGTGAAATTTCGTTCGATCTACGAGAAAACCTGAGAATAGTCCCGACAGCACGTGAGAATTCAAAGCTTATTTGGACAAACTCCTTCAGCGCTCCAATAAATGGTCAACTTTTAGCCCCCCCCCCCAAAGTTCAACAACTGTGATGTTACGGGGGAGAGAGGGTAACCAGAACAGTGGTTATAATGTTTGCTCCTCTCATGTAAACTCCATTCCATTTGTGTATAAATGTCCAATGAAGACAAATGTTGTACAATCACCACTTTGCGAATATAAGATATTGAGATACTTTTCTCGATGGTGGACATCATGTTTTTACAGAGAGGCTCTACGTATAGGAAGCAATAAAGAGGGTTACCGCACAATGATCATCGTTCATCTAAATTCCAGAAGCGATCGTCGAGTGGAAACAAGTGTCCCGTAAGATTAAGACCTGTTCGAGAAGGTGCGAATAATGAAGATAGCATTATCAGTTCCTGCAGGCTGTTAATCAAGCATGTTTGCCTCACATTAACGTGGTTACTCAAAGCTCGGGTTGGTTATTAATGACATGTTCTACGTCTTTCTGTACACATTCCAGCATACTGAGATTCAGGAATTTCGCACCGTTTCTGTAAGTTCCGGGGGACAAAATCAAAACGAATATGAACGCGATATCACTCGGAATGGCCAGACCGGGGAGCTCGAAGCGAAACAGCACTTACAGTCGAATGCGGGTTCAGCGCCATCAGCAAATCCAGATTTACTTGGCTTGGTTATAATGTGAATTTTTCAGCAGTGGAGCAAAGGAAGTATAAATGACCACTGGCTATGTCAAATGAGTCGACGCCTGCATGCACCATACGGGCTAGTTCACAGAGCACGCTTACAAGGACACGAAAACAAATGATGCAACACAACTTAACGCACAATTTAACCCTTATTCTATTCGAAATGTAAAACGCAGGAACGAAACCCTGTTGTAGACAGTTATACAGACGGTTTAATTCCCCGCGAAATAGACTCAAATTGGTTCGGTTTTACCGGGAAACTCAAATGATACCAGCTAAGTCATTCATGAAAACCCGGAAGTTGATGATCCACAAGAATGATTAAACAAGTCGTAGGCTGCCAGAGTTTTCAGCAACATTATCAGCAGTATTCAATCAAGGTGATTCGTCTTCTAACGAGCATTTCAAATTCAGAACCATGTAACTGACAATGAACAGTCTGGCCATCTGTCCACACAAATACAACCTGAGGGCATGAAATTGAAATTAACAGTATAATAGAAGGTCCAGTAACAGGTTTCACCGATTATGCTGTTGACCATACAGCCGCCATATAGTTTAAGAAAAAAGGGTAGAAACACCAAACAAGATGCAAGCTTCCCCATGAAGTTCTACCCAGAGATGAGTGCTGAAGCAGTGGGTAGTAGGCCATTGCTGAGGCCTATCAGCAACGTGCATTGGGACTAACAGAAATAAGAAAGATACAAAGCTTGACTTGCCAAGTGGTGAAGTTTCTAGGTTTCGATCCCAATGTTTTGTGGGGGGGGGAAGAAATGGACTAGTAAGCCATGTAAACAGGAGCAAAACGCTGTCCATTTCAAAGCACACAAGGGATAAGAAAAGCCCACGCACTATGCCGGATGTTATGGAGTTACTAACTACATATGCTCCAAAAGAAGTTGATTAGGTCACCTGACCGCTTTGTCGGCTACAAAACGTGGATGCGATACACATTTGTTGCTTTTATTAATGTAAGCAGGTTGCTGAGAGGAGAGGCGAACAGCCAATTTGAGGGCGACCCTGGAAAAACCAGTTCTGTTAATACGAATGCGTATCTGAGTTTTTGTTCGCCCGAGTGAGGTTCGCTCATCGATGGCAGCTATCCATTGAATCGGTGGCCTGATCAGTTCACTGGATGCACTGCCACATGTTTTCTTCGGAAAGTAGATGCACGTTTGCTGACTATACAATTGAATCCATGCTTACACGGCGAGTTTACGGGAGGAGCGTCCCATCAAGAGAGAACAATGGTGACACAAGGGGATTGGCTTTCCCCTAAGAAATGGCATTCATCGGAGATATGGGTTTTACCAATGCGCACGGGAGAAAAGGAACGTGCGATATAATTCAAATTCCTACGAGGATCCGAATGGCAGGCTACTCCATTCGACTAATTCACTGAAGAGCTTCTATGACCTTATCATACCAGAAGCTTCTTCATCGTAGACCTCGACTAACCACTCCAGCTCAGATCACCGTGCGCTCTCCATTCGCGCCATCTGTTGCATTGTGCTATCGCAGCTAGGCACCAGGTTGATATGGTGTCAAGCGAGGTGTATACATCTACATTATCCACGATGAAAATCGTATTTATCGATCCTTGGTTCCCTTTGTTGAAATCGGTCGACGGTCCTTCAGTACATTGGCAGAGGGAGCCGATGACTAGCTACGTGAATTAGTGTTCAGGAGAAAAAGTGAAATTCCATCAGTTTTGTTCGGCAGCGCAGCTAGCGAGGAACGTGGCTCACACCGCTGTTTTAGGGGATCAATGAATACAGTTTTCACGTTCGGTAAAGCTGGTGAACTGATTTGTGCTAAATAATGACCTCAGATGCAAACATGATGCAAGGCACCATACGGATAAATTGTGCAGTTACTCGGACTGGAAAGTCCGAAAAAAGTGCACGATGGATACGTTTTGATCTGTTTCGTTGTCCGTAATTTTAAATTAAAAGCCGCATGGTACAGTGAACTTTCGGAAGGCCTTCAATGAAACGGTTAAGTAAAGAGACAGACCAGACATGTGTACGCATATAAGAGTAAGTATAATCCATTTTCATGCAGATACCAGTTGAGCGGCCTATGATTAATTGTAGCGAACAGTGGTTCCTTGCGTGGTTAGTTCGGGGTTGACTAAACTACAAAAATCGATAGGTGGGATCAAAATACTAGGCTATTTATCAACTACCCATAGGCAATGCAATCACCTTAAAGTTTTCTGGGTGAGGAGAAACGTCTAACCAGACTGAAAAGACGCTCTCAATTTACAGCACCATTGCAAGCTGAGCAAGCTCATTAGCTCAGCACAAAAATAAACCCCAGAAAATCAGAAAACCCGCTCCAACGGAAAATTCCGAACCACATGAGTTTGATTCATATGTTAATGAGTCCCTTTTGGACGGAATAAAAACACGATGAAGACAAGAAGCTGATAAGATTAAATAACATTGGTCAAGTCGCAAACAAACCTGGTATAAGATCGGTGTACGACAGCTGAGGACGGTCTTTCGTTTTTTGATAACCCAAGGGGTTCTGGGTGTTGTGCAGAATGAACCGGCCGCCGCAGTTCTCATTCACGATGAAAGAACTCACCAAGATGTGAAGACCAAAGAATTGATGCAACTAATTATTCAGTAAAGTCACCCACCTTCCAATTTTTTTGTCAACAGCAATCTTATACTCAAGTGAGTTTGTTTGCAAATACTTCTGCGTTTCCCGCTAGATCGTCACTCTCAGTCAACTAAAGGATTCTCTGCAGCAGGCTGACTGAAATGCACGGGGCAAGTGCACATGCCAGTTCACTTACCACGGAGCCGCTTCACCTATTCATTATCCATTAAATTTTGGTAGCAATAAAGGTTGTAAAACGCCAGTTAAACGCAAATATCAATGAGCTGACTATCCAACAGGCTGAACAGCACTGTTACCGCGACAAACTTTTACCTGACGACGAGCACGTTGCACTACAAACTGATGATCTCTACATAAGATATCAGCGAACAAATTCAGCGCAATGCGCCTCAGGAACATGGGTTGGTAACTTAAAAGAAAGAAATGAATCTATCATTGTTGTGCAACCAATGGTCAAAAAGGATTCGATGATACATGACTAGCTTTGAAAAACCCACGTGATGAAGAAACCACTGGAGAACCGAAGGAGTACTGTCCAATGAGTGAATCAGAGAGGGTGACAATGTGGACCGGGGAGAAAATACATGGCATTGAGTTGTATAAATCAAAGCGGACCCTCAGAAGAAAAAACCGTGATGGTGTGGCACTCAACCTTCTCGAATGATCCCCCTTCAGAAAAAAGCGTGAAAGCCTATTTTTTCACAAGCACCGTTCCTGTGCTATCCAACCCTGCCCACTCGCCACAAGGAAACTTCCTTTTCGGAGCCAAACAGAGTTAGGATAAATCGATGAGTTCCCAACAGAAAAACGCCGGTATCGGGCTTTCCTTGCCACCAACTTCATTCATAGTCCAATACCAAGGAAAATAGCTTCAGCTAAAGCATCAGGTGGTTCCTCGTAGCATATTCAGTTGAAGAGGAATGTGAAGAAGAGGTTTAACTGAGACTCCCTTCAACACCCTGAACTGCAAATGGGTGCCTGAATCCACAAACCGGATATATTTGTGTGGTTTACAAAACAACCGATGGAGCCCCATGAAGAACTAGCTCAATGATAATGCTTTTTTTAGTGGTTCGGATTTCCGAATAAAAATAAAAATACCAATAGCACTGTAGTCTGGAACAAGTCGCCTAGTCGTAATGAGGGTTGGAGCTATAGGACCAAACAAGGCACAATAATTTGATACCACGATATTTCCTTGGATTCACTTCGTAATATTAAATCGCATTCGCTATTCTATTCTTTCTCGACACTCATGCTCGACTGCGGTTAATGGGGAAATGTACCATCTCTCCGCAATGAATTGAAGGATAGAAAGTGGAGCTCATATTGACGAAATGTGCTGATATAAACTAGTCAAGCATATGCAGGTTTACTGACCGTTTCAGACAAACATTCTCGTCGAAATAATAATTGCCACCGAAAGCGGATAAAGTCCACTGAGAATAATCGCATACAATTACTAAATGCAAGTGAACCAACTGTCGAAGGTATCGGAGACAATGTATGATGTCTGCTCCTCCGAAGGAGCGATCTTTCCCTTTAGGGGGATATCTTAGAATTTCTCTAAGTTGCTGCCTCATTGAAGCAGATGGCATTGCCCGAACGATGACACAACCAGTATGCAAGTCCTACACTGCCGTTCGCTTAGTTTAAGGTGGGCGAACCCTGAGGAATGAAATAAATCATGAAATCATACAAAATACCCCCAGCTTTCAACCAATGAAGCAGGTGAAACGGGATTTTGTGCCAAACAAACAATGTGGAATCGAGCTGCCAAGCAGGAAAAGCCAAGTGAACATCACACGGCTGGATTGTGACGTTCATCAGTGTTGGACAAACGCACTTGGAAGACAACCGTTGCGTGAATGCGTTAAGTGTGCTGCAGATCGCACTTGAATTTCCGAATATTCCGAAAATAGAAAAAACGGGAGCGCGGATATTGTGGGAACAAGACAGTTCCATTTAGATCACTTATATTATCCACATTGTGCGTGCATCAATCCGGTTAACAATGTCAAATGGAAAATGCGGGAAAGTGAAACAGAAGTAATGAGATGGTTATCGGTTGACTGGATCAGGAAATTAAGTTCGCGATGGGGAGTGACAGGTGTTAAGCAGCAGATCTAGGGAAGTGCCATGAAGTAGAAATCGGATGGTTAGCTGGTTAGAGCCGGTTGTTCCGGTGAACCGCAAGCAGTCGGTGCGCATGGAAGTCTGTCCTCGAATAAATGTGTATAAATGGTTAGAATCTGGAGCAGACTATCCAGGTGGGCATTCGTCCATCCACTGGACATCTGCTCCTAGACAGTGCATCACAACCAGTCTGCGCGGAGCCTCGTATGCAAGCCCCTGACGTTGAAGTAGACATGGAGAGAAATATCGACGAGTGCCCCCTTCCCCGTCGTGAATAGAGATCTCCTCCTACATAAACTTCATTGTTTTGGACGCTCTGCATCCTCATTTGGTTGGCTGCCTGACTTGTTTTCACCTTGCTCCTATTACAAAAGAGTTGGACGACGGTGTCTTTTGTTCCTTATCGATAAGAAATATATTCGTTCATATATATATATATATATATATATATATATTGGA